GCCGCAGCAAGCGGTCCCGGCGGTCAGTTTCGACCGAGCATCGGGCCCCGTGCTCGTGTTGCAGAGCGTGTCAACGTGTGGTCCCAGGCTTCCCAGGCGATGACTGGCAGCGGCAGAATGCAGTCGCAGTGGCTTTGCGTGCGTGCGTTCTGTCCGTCTGTCGCCTGTCGTGTCGTGTGTGACGGTGTCCTGTCTTGTCGGCCGCCTGTTGCAGGTTCACGCTTCATAGCGGCCCATCCCGGCAGCTTGGGTCGAGACACAATAGAGTTCAATAGAGTTTTCGAAGAGCATTCGACCCTGCCCTGTCTTGCCGTGCCCTCATGTCGTGGTTTGCTTCGCGCCCCAATAGTTCGCAGGCGTTTTATGATGGAATGGGGCCAGCTTAGGTTAAGTTGAAGCATGAAGCCAGTCGGATATGCGGTCTGGATCGTCGTCGCTCGCTCGGTCTACGAATAGGGTAAACACCTAGACAGCAGGCAGAAGAACGGCGCTGAGGTTGTTTGATAATCAATAAACGGACGAGACGTCGTGGGGAAATCGTCCGTTCCAGGCAGACTTCGGTGTTTGAAAGAGAATCCTGTGTCCGCACCGTCCAGCCAAAGTGGAGAAACGGAGAGGCCTGACGGATTAGATAAGCACCCAGACCCGAGACGGTCAGGGGGGCTTACGGAATACAAGGTACATCCCTCATCTACAGGGCGCATAGCAGGCCCAACACGGACACACAACAAGCAAGCCCCTTGGAAGTGGAAGCGCAGCGCAGTGCAGGGCGGGCAGTTGCAGTTGCGGTTGCAGCTCCAGGGCATAGGCCGGGTCGAAACAGGGCTCTATCCTGCTGCTGCTGCTGCTGGATGAACTCACGCTTTCCCACTCAGTTGGGACCGGTCGGAACACTAAGTGGAATCATCAGCGGCCACTGACAGCGAAGTGGACTGCTTTGCGCCCCGATATCCCCGAGGAAGCCCCAAATTACTGCTGGGGGGCCCTCCTTTAGTGGCAGGTAACTCCTTCTCTTTCCCTGCAGAGAATGGTCAATGGATGGTGCTCCGTGATGCCCTGGGGGCAAGTGTTCACTTCATCCATCCTCCCGTTCCCATCTCCATACATCCATCCACTTACATGATACCTCTTTCTCTCCTCCATGACAGGCTCTGCTAGTCCTCTGCTAGTCATTTCTCCTTTTCCGCTCATCGGATTCCAGTCCGGCAAGTGTGCATCCCGCCCCGGTGTCCACCTTGTCTGCAACTCATTGAATCACCAATGGCTGGTTACCCTGACTCTCCCATCTTCTCTCTCTCCTCTCTTTCCCGAGGCCCTGTCCAGAGCGCGCATACAGCCCATCATTTTGCCCCCCTCCAGGTGATATGCGCGCATATGATAGTCGCTGCACAAGCGGGCTCCTGACTGATTGATTGCCTGACAGACTGAGGCTCCAGTCTCTGTTGATTACGCACTCTTCTTCTTGGCTCGTTGCAATCTCCTCACATACCCAGCACCTCAAGACGTCAACGCATACCAAACATCTCCACCAGCATCCATCCTTCTTGAAGCCACCTGCGCAAGACAGAAACGACGTCTGTCTGTCTGTCTTTCGCGGTTCGTCACGCCTTAGCGCACTTGCTTATCCTGCACTTACAGTCGCCTGTCTCATCCAGGGTCTTGACAGCTCCTGACTCGCCCTGCCATGGCCCATGGTCGCAGCCCTAAGGCAAGCCATGTCTGCCAGCTCATCGGCGTCCAGCCCTCTCAGACCGCATCGCATCGCATCTCGGGCAACAATGGACTTGAGGCCAAGGATGCTTCTTTGCAAGACATCTCGTCGTTGCCCATTGCTTCACTTCCTACCGCAATACCTACCTAAGGCCTGCTTTCCTGCGGCCATCCTCCGTACCTTACTGCATAGCACCACGGCCAAGGTATCCATCCGCAAAGCAAGAGGGAGGCATATGATTCTGGCCTTACCTACTGCATAGGTACAGAGCTAAACCGGCACTCTCCACTCCAGCTGCAACTCTGCAGTATCCCACCTTCCCCCCTCCAACCCCTCCTTTGAGTCTCTCTTGACTCCTCGACTCCCGTCGCCTGCTTGCTTGCTTGCTTGCTTGTCGTCTCCCCCGCCCGCCTCATATCTCTCCCGGCTTCATTCCTGCTTTTTGCCATCTCCTTCTCCGCCTCCGAGGCAGACATTCGACGATACGAACAGATGACACAGCCGTGACTGAGAGCCAGACGAACAGGGCTTTCCTTTCTCCTCCGTTCACACTCACTGGCCGCACATACCCCTTCTTCTGGCTCCCAAAGTACGGATACTTGGACGCAGGCAGGACAAGGTACGTTTGTGCCGTGTGCCACCTCTGGCGCAAAGCAGAGCACACGGCCCCTGGGTCTATCCAATGATGAGGCGGCATCGACGCCTTCGTTCCTCTCTCCCGGGTCCCCACCAACCCACGTCGTCAGGTTTGACCCGGCAGAGCGGGCGAAGGATTCCTCCCCCTCCCCTCCGACGCCGACGCCCTTGCCCTCTCCCGCTGCCCGCACCACTGATGTGCGCAGCCACCCCACTGACGCTGGACGGTCAGCGACTAGCACAGGAGGTACTTGCAGTGCCCTCGCCCTGTCTTGCTTGGTGTTTCTCTCCTTGCCCAGCCCATCATGTAGTGTACATACTGCGGTACGGTTTGCGCTGGATCTGGATCCAGGGGCAGCAGGCCCATAGGCACCATGATGAGCCAGTGAGCTCAGCCAGGGAACACAGTCCAGGAGCCCTTCTCACGTCTCTGCACCAATACCCTCCCATCACATCGCGGACTTGCCTCCGTGATGATCTGCCTGCGCATAGAAGTGTTCTAGGGCGAAGGGCCATCTCCACAGTGGAAACAACCCCCCATCTGACTTCCTCTTCCAGATCAGTAGCAGCAGACACAAAGCCCTCTCGCCATTTTGCTCGTGGAAAGACAGCAGCACTAACAGGTGTGATGCATGTATCCGTCCACATATCCGTACTCTTGCCTGATAACTGGTCTGTCCCATCTATTGAAAAGTGTGATATGGGCAGAAAGATATGCGAGACGCCTCATTAAGCCTCGAGCGCTGGCTGGCTTCCATCCATCTATACTATGTAGGTGCTCTCTTGGACCTGGCGCCATGTACCCGCGCTACTTGGCCCATGGGCAGTCATGTACCTTGACTACTTGCCTACCGACTGACTGAGGAGGTGCTTCTTAAGTTCTTAGGTTCTCGTCCACGCTAGAGAGGGCCACAGCGACCCGTGCAGGACAGGGACTCGGGGGGCATAAGGCACCATGACCTTGCCATTCATTCATCCATCCACATCCCATCCATCTCCATCTCCATCCATGCCTCTCACATTCTGCTGCCCGTCTCCCTTCCCCTTGCTACGCTGACACACATACATAATCAACCCTCTTCACTTATCGTCGCCGCTGCTGCCGTGTTTGTTGTTGTCGTCGTCGTTGATCAACGTCCTCATCATCGTCGTCGCAAAACAAACATCACTGCCCTGCCCCGCGGGGTCAGCCAAAGTTCCCTCCCTCAGAGTGCTGCGCCCCAGCTCTGCGTCGCTTGCGCGCGTTGCCGCTTCGGTCCCCTGTCACCAACGACCGTCGGAATCACCACCTTGCGACACCGTCGCCGAGAGATAGAGACAACTCTTTGAGAGCAAAGCATCTTCTCCCCGCACAGGTCACCCGCCGAACAGGACTGTTTCTCTCACGCTACAACCTCAGCTTCATCTTTTTGTCAGCAACATCTTTTCCAGTATCTTCATCTTCCAGGAGCTGGAGACGAAGACAAAGACGAAGCTCTGCTACATCGGAATCAGATTCTGCTGCACTTGACAGACAATCGGTCGTCCACAATTACGCCATACTTGACAGACGCCGACAGTGTTACACAAGCAACCTACCTCGCTCTCCTCTCCTCGATACCAGACAGTCAGACTTGGATCAGACTCGGACGACTTGCCAGTGTGCCTACGTTGCCTACTGCCATTTCTCGCCGTGGTCAGGTCCCCGGTGGTCCCCAATCATCCAGCCGGTACGTATCCTTTGCGACGTTCTTCAACTTTGCTCTACACATCCCTTCCCTTCCCCAACCCTTGTTCTTCTTGATATCCTTAGTCTTTCGTGGTGGTGGTGGTGGTGGTGTGCCTTCACAGCCACCGAGCGGCGGCGGCGGCGGCGTCCAGACACCACCATCAGACACAACCACAACCCTTTCATCCTTCATAATGTGGGCTAGCCCCCCGTCACGACGCATGCCAGAAATCCCCCAGAGGAAGTTGAATCGAACTCTGATGCGCTTCTTCGAGGCTTCTCTTGGCCGCTCGCGGTCGCGACGCTCTGCCCATCCCGATTAAAGCACTCTGCACTGCCCAGACATCCTCCACCAAATAAACCCTCGCCGTTGTCTCGGGTCCCTCCTTGTCGCCCGCTCCAGTTTGTTTTTTCTCTTCATTCTCCCTCCCGTCTTCTCCAAATCTCCAAGACACACGGCGGACACACTTTGTTCTGCGCCCTCCGTCATTCGTTCTCGCCTCCCCTTCCCACCCCTCCAGATCGACGTTTTCGTCCAACTTTTTCCTTATTCAGCCTGTCTCTTACCCACAAGCGGCTCGCCCGCTTCCCGTGCCGCTTCGGGACTTTTATTTTCTGACGGTTGAGATCAGAAGCGCGATTGCCAATCAGGGACGTCATCGCCGGCATTTTGGTCTTGGTGGAGGGGTCCCTGATTTGATTTTTTCACACTCTCTACCCCCCTCGACGCCCCCTCTGAACGTTGGGGAGCCAAGACTTGAAATCGCCTCGCATTGCCCTTGCGCATCACAATACCCTTTGCGCCCAACTTTGAATATCGCCGACATACTTGCTCATCCCCGACTCCGAAGCTCGACTGCCCCCGGCTTTGAAACCTCATCTGGTTCTACACTCACATGTGTTCGCCGGTCACGCCTCAACTTTGCCTGTAACTATTAGCTCACGATGAACTCGCCTCCGAACTCATTCCACCAAGCATCACCTGAACATCTTACAACGCATCCCGCTTCAGCCCTTAGCGACCCATTAGATCACCAGAACCCCGGAAAGAGGCGCAAAGTCGACGGTCCTCCTTCGCCGGAAGACTATGCCCCTGCAGCCATGTCACCACCCAGCTCAACCGATACTGCCATCACCGTCGGATCTCACAATGACGAGGGGCGCGAAACCGAGAGTTTGTCCGAGAGCGTGCTAGAACACATGTATGAACATAGACTGCGATACCATGCATACCGCGCTGGAAAATACGCCTTTCCCAACGATTTGGTCGAACAGGACCGCGACTTCATGAAGCATCTCATCAGCAACCTTCTTTGCGACAGATGGTATCTGTCACCTGTGGACGACGTATTAGCAAGAGGTGGTGAAGTGCTAGACCTTGGTATGTCTGTGATGTCAAATAAGTGAGAGGCGTCAGGGTTGGACGTGCTACCCGTGCTGGCATTTGCTGAACTTCCTCGCTCGGGACGTACCGTGAGATTTGCCATGGCTAGTTCCAAACGACAGGCAGCCATCGTTGTGATGTCAGCAGTGGCTCAGCACCGTCGCCTTCGGCCTCGATTTGGAGTTCTTGACTGACCGTATGGGTTGCAGGTACCGGTCCTGGTCATTGGGTTCTTGAAGGTGAGCATCGTTCGGCTCTTCTGCGCAGGCCTTGTTATCACGCACGCAGTTGCTGCTGACATGGGACGCGCCATCATATTGAAGCATACTGACAAAGTTTGGCACAGTCGCGGAGTGGTTCCCTGATTCAACGTTCCTCGGTATCGACCTGTCACCTATTCAGCCCTCGGAGGTGCCTCCCAACGTTCATTTCATGGTGGATGACTTTGAGCACGAGAACGGATGGGCACTGGACGAAGAGTTTTACGACTTCATTCACCTCCGTCACACACTTCACTCAGTGCGAGATCGCATGGAGCTCATGAATCGAGCTTACCGGTGAGTCATGGCAAATCAACATGATTGTACAACATGCTGAATGCGATTCAGACACCTCAAGCCCGGTGGCTGGTTTGAGATTCAAGAACTCGAGTTTTCCCCCCTCTGCGACGACGGCACAACACCCGAGGGTGATGGCTACGGCTTCCGTGTTTTCACTAATTACTTGGAGGCGGGAATGAGAGCACTGGGATCGGAAATGCACGGTATCCGATACGCCGCCGACGAAATGCGCTTGTCGGGCTTCGAAAGCGTTCACGAGGACAGACGAAAGTGTCCGATCGGCGACTGGGCCGCTAAGCCCGAATTACGTGAGGCAGGCGGTTTAATGCGGAGGACAATCGAGGACGGCCTGAAAGGTCTGGCGACACGGCCTTTCCGAGCGCTGCAGTGGACGGAGGTGCAGATCGAAATTTTCCTCATGAACGTGAGGCCACACGTTGCCAACAAGGGATTCCACGCTTACCTCAACCACCGAACTGTATACGGACGAAAGCCGCTGAACGCACCGAGACGAGCCTGAGTCTAACGGACGATGAGGGGATGAAAGAAGGTACGAAAGGACGACGTTTTTGGTGATGGGACATGGCGTGCCCGCGAGGGTGATGCAGAGTCGCGTACTGGGGCTTGCTATCATCTTTTTCCCGGGATTGGACGCTTCCTCTCCCATTCTGTACTTGCTTTGCACACGGGTGTATCAGGGGCATTGAATCAGGGGTCCAGCTGGCGGGCTGGCAATATCATCATCACAAAGGGCATTGCATCGGCCAAGGAGGGTGGTCTCAGCGGAACGGCGGACGGCGGGCGGCAGCTTCGGCTTTTGCATTCCTTGGATTCAAATCGCAGCGGGGCGATGGTGGAGTTTTTTGATATTTTCTTTTCCCAGCAGAAGTCATGAGATTATGAGGACTATGGCGGCTTATCACGTCTGCATGGCTCGGTCCGAGCTACTACAATTACTTAACTTTCCAGTACGCCTTGCCGACGCAGAAGTCCTCTCGTACCGGATGGGCGATGCCTGGCAGGGCTCACATGAGGAGGATGGGTTTCATAGGAGAATGCCACACCCAACCTACTCGGTTGATCATGTTCTCCAATCTCGGTCTTCTGATGATCATTACCGTTGCTCTACGCTAGATCGGTGCGGTTCTTGATATGGACACATGAACCTCGCCCTCGTGATGGCAGCTTCTGACCGCCTGTTAGACAGCGACCGCCGTAGCACAACATGTCATCATCGAAAGCTCACGCCTCGGCCCTACCTCTGATTCGTCCCATGTCATCCCACACCCCTCAAACCTCGGTGCCTCGGGATGCTTACGCCCCCTTATTCAGACGATTAAGGTTTTCCACCAGACCCGATCGTTCATCGCATGGCTATTTTAGGCCGAACGCACCACCGCGCCCGCTAGTCCTAACAGCGAATCGTGGAATCGCCCAGACACAGCAAAAGAGACGAATGGGCAAAAGATTTGACCAGCCTGGGGGTCGAACCCAGAATCTCCTGATTGCACGATGAATCGTAGTCAGACGCCTTGCCATTGGGCCAACCGGCCGGGTTGCACTTCCGCGGAAGCGGAAGTGGTGATGGGGACGGGAGGTGGTGGAGTGGGATAACTAGCGCTGGTGGGAGAAGGGGGGACGGACCCTCCATTGTGTAAAAATTCTGCACTGGATGGATGGGGCTGCTCATTGGTGTCTGGGTTGAAGCCCAGCAAGTTTCGTGGAACTTTGATGAAAGCGCGTTTGCGTTTAGGATCTTGGAGAAGATTAGCTGTTTAGTTGGACTTGTGGAATAGTGATGTGATTTACTCTGCTGGATTGTGGTTGAGAAAACCAGTAGGGGTTTGCGTTGCTGATTTATGAACACACAATTCTGTAACACCCCCCTTGGTCACACACATTATGTTGTTACGGATGATCAGTTAAGGGGGCCACCAGACGCCAAAGTCTTCTTGATAACTTTGAGTTCCCGCTGGGTTTGTCTTCTCCTCAAGCACTGAACCCTGCGTCTGATATTAGGTACGACCCGACGTTTCGAGGGCACTGCACCTCGATGAGACAAGTTAGTAAAAAGTCAAAGGGCAACAGGAGAACTGTGAGCATTGTTCGACGCATATCTGTAGTTTGAGAGGCTCAATTACAGAACACTTCCAAATCGAAGAAACTCAGCCTCGTACGACGTCGAGGGTTGGTTGGTCTGAGTAAATTATGGACATGGAAGAGTTCAGCTGTCGATACAGCGGTGGAGGTTTCGACGGATTTCTCTTTGCTCCAAGTCTGAGGGGCGTGACGATGAGTTGCTATAAGATTATGTGGGTGGTCTCGGTTTGTGAGTTCCCAAGTGCATGTCTTGGAGGAGTGATGCCGTTCGCAACACCATGAATGAAAGCTCATTGGAATGCACCCGTCCCTGTTATTTAAGGTAGGTCACATGCCTGTGCTACCTTCAATGAGAGGCGAAGTGCCACATGTAGCAAGGTAATAGGTGTAGCCAAAAGTCATACTGAAGGGGAAAGAAGGCCGATTCCAAGTCCTGCTTTGAGCACTTCCTGTAATAGTAATCGAGTCTCAGCTTGTTATATGAAATCAGGTAGGGTGATGAGGAACGCTCAGCACCGCTGCCCATTCGCACCAGTGTTGGCATTCTGAGCATCGGTCCTCAATCGTTGCGCCTCGCAGTTCTCAGTTATCAAGCATCACTCATTACGCAGCGTCGCAACGGCAGGTTATACAGAAAGATTTTAGACGGCTAAGACGACTTGTGTGTGTCCGCCGTTGGCACCCGCAGGCTTCACAAGCCTTATCGTTGCAGCTTGGTGGTAATGATCCATGATCCATCAAACCCTAGGTGGACTTATGTCAATGCAGCAACGATTGGAGGATTCAAGACGGCATTCCGTTTGGTGTATTTGTGTTTTTCCATGTCACGTTTCGTTATTGTCAGAATACTCATCTAAGTCGAGTGCAGTTTTGGCGAATAGTGTCAGTATGTTAGGTGGACTTGTGAAGAATGCCCTGCGTGTTTGCGTTGATAATTATCCATTATTGCTGAAGGCTAGGACTATGATCAAGGCTATACTTACGAAGATACTGTTTGGAAATGCAATGAAATCATGGATTAAATAAAGCATTGAGAAGACGTGCTTATTCCGCAGCAATACTACGCAACAGGACAGTTCTGAAACGCAACTTGAACATGGTCAAAACCCAAAGTCAAACGCGTTCTAGAAACGATTGCCTACGACAGACGGTGTAGAAGCCATCAATATATTTCAATTTTCATTCGTCTTGGAGAAACCCCGTCGTTTACGCGTCAAACACCAAAAAAAGAGTTACCTCCATTGTAGAGATTTCGTTCCCAAGCAGAACCAGTTGGTGTCAGGTCTTCAGCGTTTCCCACCAGCAGCTCTTTGGCTGAGCGATTAGTATGGCCTGTTACCTTAAAGGTATAATGTCGTGCGAAATCTTCGAGACAACAAATTTCAAGGCTCGTGATCATATAGCAGGTCAGTGAACAGCTCGGTGAGCATGCGTTGAGGTCGCTCATAGGACCTTCGAGTTCCGCCGCTCTCATTTGGACACCGTGTCATGGGGAATGATAGATTACAATTTGTGTTAGAGATTCAAGTGTAAATTCAGCGTGAATGGAGACTCAATAAAGTAAAGAGGCTGTCTGCGAGACAGTACGGCTCTTGTTTATATGAGATCAGCGGACATCAACTCCGTACGTAGTTCATTTGTGATCAGTACGTTTGCCACAATCAATTACACACATAGGAGGCTGTGGTACTCGAGTGAGCATACAGCTTACGGTTGAGTTTTGTTCCGTAACATGAGCATCAGGGGATTCACAGAGCCCACGCAGCTGTTCTACGTTGTGTGGATTCAGAAGCAATCTATGCAATAAGCACAGTGAAGCTGGCTAGCCTTAATTCTAAATATCACCATCTAGATTCACTGGTGATCATAATTCCATTTCTGCAGAACCGTAAAGTGATTGGGCATGGCTCATGCCGGTTACGTGACATCTTTTTTGATCAACATCAAAGCATCAAGACTATAACGAGCCATTATTAGCAGTGGAAATAAAAAGGAAACGCGAGCTTCCAGTTGAGATGTCAAGGTATTAAGATAATGTCTCCCAAAGGGTTCCAGAAGAGTTTGTTATCACATCTCGAAGTGGAGATGTCAGTAGAGACATTAAACACACTCAAGAGAGGTAGCCTTCACTAATGCAAAGTGCTGGATGTTCACAACACTATGTACAGCTCGCGTATAGTTGCTGTTGGTCTGGCTTCAGGGCTACAATGTGATTCGTGTCGATCGCGAGGACGCACCGTAGAAACCTAACTTTCTTTTTTCTGAAATCCTTTAGCGCACGACACGTGGTGCTTTCCAGCTCACCTTGGCTTTGTGGCAGAGTCGAACGAGCTGGAATCCTATTTCACTAGCTTGTCCTCGTTTAGATGACTGAGTCGATGAGAGCTGATCAAGCTAGGTTTTGAGTTGACTCTCAACCAAGACACGATCCTACAAATCGCACTGCGATCACGGCATTCTAAAATGAAACTCTTCTGATCGCAAATTCGAGGCATGTATGTTGAGACAGTCATGTATCCATCAGTCACGTTCAAGTTATGTTGTTTGCTTGATGTGTCGTTGAGTTGTGTGGGACTAGTACCTGAAGCTAGACGTTTTCAGCCAGCCTCCATACCAGCGATCGTGAGCTTGTTCCCGTTGATCGACGCTACGGCCCTGTCTCACAGCTAAACAGCGGTGCTGGGAATTTTCCTTTGTCCTCCACGAGATCATGAGGGGCGTTGCGAGGCTGTTCGGAAACCCGCATGGGATCCAGTTTTGTTTCTGCCGCTTCCCATGCAGAATTTCGCAACGTTTTCCTCCTCCATCCCTTTCCAGCTATGTCAATCAAGAACACCGACTCAGATACCCCAAGAAATCACTCATACACGCAAGATGCTTACGCAGGCGTGAGCCCATATTCAATAGTGAGCCGCCTAGTCAGCGCCGCTTGCTCATGCTTACGAGTAGCTACTTTGAGTGATGCGTCGCGGGTCTCTATTGGCTGCCTTCACCGAATCCTCTGCAGGGTTTAGTGGCGCAGCTCCGTCGACGGGAACGAAACACGCCTCAGGAATTTGAGCCGCGCGGGAAGGAGTCGAAGGATTATTGAAATTGCCCGTAAGCAACAAGACGACATCTCATCGTCCGTCTTTCGCCCATTGCGGAAAAGAAGGGAAATAACAGCGTCCAAAAAGATAACGACCAGACATCCCGAAAAGGATGTGGTGCCTGCCAAGAACAGCAATCGAGGTGCAAAGGCCCCGGTCGGTTGGTCGCTGCCCAGATACATAGGTAACATCTTCACCTGAGACTCCCGCCCTCACCGTACGGTCGTCACAGTGCAGGTGACGAAACAATCAATCATCACTATCGAAGGAAAACGCCCATTGGATCCCGTTGCGCAGCAAACAAATCACCAACCGGCCGATGACGCCCGCT